GTGTGCTGTCTGGAATCTTCACATCATTCTGGTGAAATACCGTACTCTTTTCTGAAAGCACGACGCTGTAAGTAATGGCTTTGTAAGTGTCCGTTGTGGCCTCATGGTATAGCCGAATAACATAGCCTTTTGTAACAAAGTGAAGCAGCACTGGAGTGATCACTGTAAAGCTTCCTATGATGCCATAAAATAAGATTTGCAAAGGCAGACTTCCAAATATAATATTATTTTGTGCTAAAATGTATGGTAGAAATGCAAGGCTGAGCATACTTGTAGAATAAGAGAAACATTTCACACCTAAATGGAAAAAGAAAATGGGAGAGGATTAATACATTTAAATTTTATAAAAGAATCAATCTATCCTAGTAATTCTTCTACCTTTTCTTCCTATGTCACCACTGAAACATCAACAAAATCAAAGTACAAACATAGTGCTTATTTTATGATGGGCTCTGTCTGAACACTTTACAGATTTTTCATTTTTTATTCATGAAATTCACAGAAAAGCCCTATAAGATGGATGTACAATTGTCATTATCAGCCCATTTAAAAAATATATTTCTGAGGTCGTAGCTCATGGTAGAGTATTTGCCTAGTGCATGTGAGGCCCTGGGTTGATCTCCAGAATTGTGAAGAAAATAAATAAGATTAAAAAAAAAAATGAGAAAGATGAGCCACTTCTGCAATGATATATAGCTATGAAGTACCTGGACTGGGATTCAAACCCAATCAAGTTGACTCTATACTCCATACCATTGGCCATTATAACGCACTGCCTCACCAGGTAAGAAATCTGCTTTAGGGTTATATAGCCTCAACCATTAAAAGATTTAATTTTCCTCAAAGAACTGTTTTATACTATAAAAGTTGATTCAGACAGCAGGTTTTCAAATAAAACTCTACTTAACAAGTAACACAAAAATTTTTAACCTGGGCAATTCTATCAAGCTACCTGCTTCTTCTTCCTGTATCATAAACATATGATTATACCTGTAATCCCAGCAGACTGGGAGGTTGAGGCAGGAGGATCATGAGTTCAAAGCTAGCCTCAGCAAAAGTGAGGCACTAAGCAAGTCAGTGAGACTCTATCTCTAAATAAAATACAAAATAGGTCCGGGGATGTGGCTCAGTGGTCGAGTGCCCCTGAATTCAATCCCCAGCACCATAAATAAATAAATAAACAAACAAAAATACCACTAGGGTTTAAGAAACATATTGGCCTGAGCACTGTAATACACACCTGTAACCCCAGCTACTTGGAAGGCTGAGACAAGAAAATTTCTAAGTTAGAGGCCAGCGTCAGAAACTTAGCAAGACCCTGTCGTAAGAAAAAAAAGGGCTAGATGTAGCTCAGTGTAGAGCGCCTCCAGGTTTAATTCCAAGTACTGCCAACACAAAAACAAAAATCATACAGTAAGATACTGTTTTGGGCTGGGGTTGTGTCTCAGTAGAGCACTCATCTAGCATGTGCAAGGTGCTAGATTCGATCCTCAGCACTATATAAAAAATAAATAAAATAAAGGTATTGTGCCCAACTACGACTAAATATATATACATATATATATATATATATTTTTTTTTTTTTTTTTTAAGATGCCGTTTTCCCCCCAAATTGGCAAAAGCCCGAAGTTTCACAGCATACTACTGGTAAAGCTTTAGCAAAGTAGACACTCTCATACACTGCTGTTGGCTGGAGGCTTAATTATCGTGCATCAGTAATTTAAAAATATTTCCTTCCATCTTCCTATAGGCAGTTTGCCATGGCACTGGTACACAAGGGAGAAATGGGGACCAAGTTGCCTCCTATATAGAAAAGTCTCTTCAATCCTTCCAAAACACCGTTTTTCTCTATTACTTTTGTCACACTGTAGTGGGTTAAACAGTTGCCCACCACCACCACCACCACCACCATATTCATGTCCACCCTGAACTTCAGAATGTGACCTTATTTGAAAATAAGGTCTTTGGAATTTTAAAGATTGAGATGAGATCGTG